ATATTATATATATAGGAGGTGTACAACAGTAAGCCTCCGCAATTGTTCACCAATTGTTGCACTATTTCGTCTCTAGAAAAGGCCTTTTTTGGTTGTTGTTTTTGCCGAAATTCGGCACTAGAGTGCAATAATTTGCATTATGCACGCAAGTTAGATGCCTCGTGGACGTCGAGAAAGCATTAGAAGTAAAATTATTCTTGTTGTGTATTCGTGACATTCCGTCAGGTGGCGTAGATGTGTAAACCCGGGGTGTAAACGTGCGGCAGCGGCGTGCGTGCGTGCGGTGTAGACATTTCGTGTTTATTTACCATTATTTTTTTTATTGAGACGTTCCAAGTGCCTGTTCCGTAGACAGCAGCTATGAGCCAGCAGACGTCACGAGCTGATTTTTTAGGGGAACTGCAGCGCCGCCTATGAACAACGCTGACTGGCGATCACCGGCCACCTATCTAATCACAATAAAACGCTGTACGCTCCACGACAAAGAGTAATTACCGAGGATTAAATATCATTCTGCTATGAATCCGATTGACGTGTATCATCGTTTTTCTTATCTTTTTCATCTCGCGTGCTTACGTCAGTAGTTAGAATCGGCCCGCGCCCACGTGCGCGGCTGCGCGGGAGATCCCACTGGCCATTGTTCGTGAGTTCGTGACTGCGTGTACGTGCGTGCGTGTGTGTGTGCGTGCGTGTGTGTGTGTATACGTCACACTCGCGTCAGAGACACCTGTCCACCTCGCGGTCCCGTAGCGGACGCGCACGGATTATGTATCTGTTTGTCGTCATCGCCGTTGACGTTCTGACACGACCACCGACAGTTGACACGCACGAGATATCCGCTTCCCCTGTCCCTCCCTCCCCCGCCTCACCGCGCGCGCTATCCTCTCCTTGCTGCATGGTTATAGGTAGGGGCTCGTGGTTTATATATCCCGCGGGTGAATTCGCGTTCGGTGCGTTTCTAAGATTTGGCGTTGAATCCCCCGCGTAGATCACAGTGTTTGAATTTGATCTGCGTAGCTTTATTCACCATTCGTGATGATGTCAGATGATTCGAAAAAAATCCGTCGAGATAGAGGGAGGGTTCATTCGTCGAAAAATTGTACCATTTATCGTATTAGTGTTAGATGTTGGCTACCTACTATCCGATACATATGTACGGATATATATATATGCGTGTGTGTGTGTGTGTGTGTGTGTGTGTGTGCGTGCGTGCGTGCGGTGCGTGTGCGCGCGCGCGCGTGCGTGCGTGCGTGTGGTGTGGGTGTGTGGGCGCGCGTAGTGCGTGTGCGGTGTTTGCGGGCGCGTGCGCGTGCGTGTGTGCGCGTGCGTGCATGGAGTGTGTGCGTGTCGTATGTGTGTATTATATGTGATATATATATATATATTATGATATATACATGCATAGGGAGATTCATATCTACTCGTGTATGCGAAAGCGCAGAAGTTAAACGTCAAGCTGCTGGATGTACCTGTGTCGCGGCGGCGGCGGTAGCGCAGCGGCGGCGGGTGTACGGAAGTTTATAAGCGGAGACGGTGGTTATACTCGTAATAGCTTTCCGCGTATGGATGCGTAAACCACAACAAAGTAGCCCACCGCACCGCACTGCACAGCGGCGGCTGCACGGCGGGCGGCGGCGTTCTACCGTCCCCGTCAACGACACCACCCCGCCGGACGCCCGCGTCCGCCGCAATTTGGCAATCATTCTCGGTTAGGCTTCCACACATGAATATACATGTAGGGCGGATTTCCGGCGGCATACTAATATATATATATATATAAATATATATAAGTGTTGTGTGTGCTGTGTGTGTGTCGTGCGCGCGTGCGTGCGTGATGTGTGTGTGCCGGCGGTGTGTGTGTGTGTGTGTGTGTGTGTGTGTGGTGTGTGTGTGTGTGTGCGTGCCGTGCGTGCGTGGGCGTGTGTGTGTGTGTGTGTGTGTGTGTGTGTGTGTGTGTGTGTGTGTGTGTGTTTGTGTATGTGTGTGTGTGCGCGCGCGTGCGCGTGCGTGTGCGTGTGCGTGTATGTGTATATGCATACATATAATTCTCGAGTCTTATTTTACTACCCTAGTTAGAGCGTGAGAGCCGGGCGCCCACCCACAAACAAGGTCCTCGCGGTTTTACTGCTGCACGCACCGTCGCAGGTAGCCCGCGATCGGCGTGCGTGCGCGCGTGCGCGTGCGTGCGTGCGTGCGTGCGTGCGTGCGTTGGCCTGTGCTCGCGCGTTCGCGTGCGTGCGTGCGTGCGTGCGTGCGTGCGTGCGTGCGTGCGTGCGTGCGAGCGTGCGTGCGCCTATACTCGCGCGTTCTCGTGGGTACGGCAGCTTATACGGAGGTAGAAGGTGGTAGGCCTTAATCCTCCGCAGTAGCGCGCGATCGTGGCAGCGTCGTCATTATACGGGCCTTTGTTCCCGCAGCGGCGGGGGGCCGTGCGGCCATTGTCAAATTCCGCCGCAGTCCGGCCCCTGCTACCGGGTGCTACGTCAGGTAAGGGAGGGTGGGGTGAGGGGGAGGGGTGAGGGGAGGGGTGGGGGTGTTGCTGCTGCTGATTTTCCATGTAGATATCCCGGTGGCGTTTACGATTGGATGTGGGGGGAAGAGAAGGAGGAGGAGGGGGAGGAGAGGGAGGGGGTGACGCCAGTAGGGGGCGCTGATGGAGATTGACGCGGGGGGTTCGTTGGCGATTAATTAGCGAGCTAAATCCGGTTTGTTAAGAGACTAAATACGGAGGAGGAGAGGAAGACTGTACGCCGAGGGGAGGGGGAGGTAAGTGGTTGGAATTATCGCCGAATTGTCATTAAAGGTTTTACTTTGCGGATTGCCACTTGGCCGCCGTGAGACTAAGATGTACGAATGAATATTAAGATCCGGATGCATGCAGCAGCATAGCGTGCTTTTAATCGACGAATATATTTATATTGCGTATTTAATGGTATGTAGGTGAAGGTAAGGCACAATATAAGAACATGAGTTTGTTTGCACGTTACACGCTATCAGTGATATATATGGGGGGGGGGCTAGGTAACCCGTACAGACTACGAATTTTAGCGCGCGTCAGACGCGCGCTAACTTAGCCCGGGTGTGACGCGCGCTAACTATTTAATAACTTATTAAACTAAATAATTTCGGGACATAACAAGATTTTAATATATATATATAGCAGCAATAAATCCGCATGCTGTTGTACGTGCAGGCGATGCATCAGGATGGATGCTGATTTCCGTTTCATTTGACTCTTGAATTACAATAAAGGTATGAAAAACAAAGATGCGTCCCGTCCTTGTCTCCCATCGTCCGACCCCTCCTACCACACCCCGCCTCCCCTGTCATGCTTCTCCTGTCATCCTCCTCCGCCTCCTCTTTCTATCTATCTCTCCTCGTGCTCTTCCTCCTCCTACCCCGCCATCTTTTGCTTTCCCTATCATCCTTTACCGCGTCCTGTTCTTATCTATCCCTCTCCCTCCTCCCCTGTCAGTCCCCGCTCCCTCTATAATTCTCCACCGCGTCCTGTTCCTATCTAGCCCTCCTCCTCCTTCTACTCCGCCTCCCTTGTCATCCTCCTCCTCCCCTGTCATCCTCCACCGCGTCCTGTTCCTATCTATTCCTCCTCTTCCCCTCCTAATAAGTAGAGGCTGCCGTGGTGTAATGACAACCCGCACGTATCGCGTCATAAAAATTAAGCCGATGAAAAACAATTTAATTATATGCTTATAACTGCAAATCGACGCGCTATGTTTGGCGATGCGCTCAGTGCATAGATCGTATAGCTGCATGGGCGCGTCGCGTACCTTCTACTGTACGTATGCGTACGTCTAATATGTGTGTATGTGTGTGTATAAGCGCACAGGTACAGGTGTGCGCTCCTGTGTTTTAACGCTCGATGTGTGCGTGCGCGCGCGCGCGCGCGTGTGTGTGTGTGTGTGTGTGTGTGTGTGTGTGTGTGTGTGTGTGTGTGCGCGCGTGTGTTGGTGGGAGGGTATATGTGTTTGTGTGTGTGGGGGAGGGTATATTATGTGTGTATGTATGGGGGGGGCGTGTATGTGTAGCCGTCCCGGAATAGAAGGCACCGTACGTGTTCGTACGTAATAATTCCGCTCACCACAATCACGCACACACGCGCACGCACATACAAACACACACTCACGCACACACACGCGCACACATACAAACACACACACTCACACACATGCACACACACATACAAACTTGCACACGCACGCACGCACGCACGCCGTTGTTCGCTGGGCTCGCGCACCTGTCTCCTTTAACTAGCCATGAAGTTTTCACCGGGCGGCATGACGCGGGGAATGCCGATGCTTTTACCCGCCGAACACTTCACTTCTGTGCGGGCGGATGAGGCAGGAGGGAGAGAGAGAGAGAGAGACAGAGAGGGGGAGAGAGAGAACGAGAGAGAGAGAGAGAGAGAGAGAGAGAGAGAGAGAGAGAGAGAGAGAGAGAGAGAGAGAGAGAGAGAGAGAGAGAGAGAGAGAGAGAGAGAGAGAGAGAGAGAGAGAGATCCGACTGCTACAGTGTGCAGGAGTTGAGCAGCAGCATCATCAGCAGCAGCAGCATCATCATCATCATCATCAGCAGCAGCAGCAGCAGCAGCAGCAGCAGCAGCATCCCAGGTAAGGAGGCAATGAAAGCTCGTTACGTGACGCTACGACCACCACGACGGCCAATCCCATCCCATCGCTAATTGCAGCACCGCTCCCGATCCACGCAGAATGATGGAGGCGGGAGGCAAGTATTGCTATCAAAACAGATTTGTTTGTGCGGACATTAGCGGTGCGAATGCCCAAGCTCGCGCTGAGGGAAAGGGAGGGGATAGGGAGGAGAGAGAAAGCCACCCGCAGGAATCGCTCCGACCCATCCCTAACTGCGCAGTCGGTTGTTCGGACCGCGTCACGACGTAATGAGGCGGAACGATGGCGCCCCGGGGCCAGCAGCGCCACCGCCAGGTGAGCAGGTGTGCGCTGATTGGCTGAGCGGCGGCGCGCTAGTTGAGTGCGTGGAGTGGGCAAGCGAGCACACGGCAGACGCTTGGTGTTGTACAGAGAGCGAGTCGGTGTTGTCGCAGACATTTTTCGTTTCCCGCGCTCGCGCAACAAGTGTTTGCTGTTGTTGTTGCTGCTTTTTTGTTTTTCAATTTCCGTTGTTTTTTTTTCGTCGAAGAGGAACCCCGGAGACGTATCAATATATCCGTCGGTCTACCCTACGCTTCGTTCGATACATCCGCGCGCGCGTGTGTGTGTGCATGTGCAAGGAGTGAGCGTCGGTTTCTCTCTCCCGGAAAGGAAGCGCTAGGAAGGTAACAATGATGTTTACAGACGACTCGGAGGACCTCTCTCCGGCAGACATGCGAGAGATGCACGAGCTAGAGTCTACGCACAACGAGGACTACACGCTATCGGCGATGTCCCCGCAGACCGCCAGCTCCCCCGGGGCCGCCATGCCTCCCGGAGCAAACCTCCCCCCAATGCCCGGAGGAGGAGGGGGAGGCGGCGGTTCAAAGAAAGCGAACATGGACCACGTGAAGCGACCGATGAACGCCTTCATGGTGTGGTCGCGCGGACAGCGCAGGAAGATGGCTCAGGAAAACCCGAAGATGCATAACTCAGAGATCAGTAAGCGACTTGGCGCAGAATGGAAGATCCTCACCGAGGAAGAAAAGCGACCTTTCATCGACGAGGCGAAGCGCCTGCGCGCGCTACACATGAAGGACTACCCGGACTACAAGTACCGCCCGCGCAGGAAGATCAAGAAACCAATCGCCGGGAAAGTGGGACCCGCCGGGATGATGGGAATGAACCCAGCCGTTAGCTCCCCAGGCCTACAGCAGATGGGACAGAACATGTACAACCCTATGAACGGCTACATGCCCAACACGTACGCATCCATGATGGCCGCTGATCCATCCACGTACCAGCAGCACATGGGCAGCCAGTTGGCGGCCAACGGTAGTCTCTACCCGCGCTACGACATGGCGGCCGCCGCCGCCGCACAGATGCACTCGGTCAGCAGCAGCCCCACCAACCCGTACATGCACGCCGGAAACGGAAGTTACGCGTACTCGTGGCCGCAGTCGGCGGCTCCGACGATGATGAGCAGCTCTCTACCTCACCAGCAAGGTATCAAGAGCGAGCCGACGACCGAGCACAGCCCCAACAACAACAATCTCGATGCTGGAGGCGGAGTACACCACCGGGGATCGAACCAGCCGCAGAGCGACCTACGTGACATGATCAGTATGTACCTGCCCGGAGATCCGAACGATCCGCACAAGCAGCAGATGCAGCAGCACTACCAGAGCCTGCAGAACGGAGTGACGAATCAGATCCCGCTGGCGCACATGTGAGCGGTGTTGCGTGCACAAATATTTGTGGACCCCCTTCATACCACCCCCCACCCCCCATCACACACACCGAGAAAGAACGAGGGATGGATGGATGGAACTACTATATACCGTACAGTATTAGTCCAGCTTTGCGGACTGTGAAACCAAATCTGGCCTTGCCATGGCAGAGGGTAGCAACTGTACCATGCACGCGCGCAGGGTGCACCGACGAGAGAGAGAGGGGGAGAAAGCGAGAGACCTTGTACCATAACTCAGGTGCTGTGTGCATCGTCGCAACGAAGAGAGACAGAGAAAGAAAGAAAGAAAGCATCGAACATTTTTCCACCGAATCTCGCACGAACATTCCACACACCTGCTAGTACCATCGTTTGAAACCCGCGACTTGATTTCGATATTTTGATTTCGTTTTGACCCCGATAGTATAATTAATTATACGTTCTATTGTTGTACGTTCTATAATTCATCCGTTGGCGTGATTCTTATACATAACGCGCGGGAGATAGATGGCGTGCGGGATTATATCGATGGACATTTGTTACGAGATATACGGATGATATTGACGGTCATACCTAATTATGTATACGCCTGTGTTTTATGATAACATCGTGTTTTGATTTTCCATTGAACAGTTCTCATTTTCGACTGGTCGTTATATAACTAAGATTGTAAATAATTATTTGATCACCGATCGTATTATTGTGGATAATCAATTTTCTTGTACAGATCGATAACAGATTCGCGCCAGCGTGCCTTATTGATGTGTTGTTTTCTATTTCTGTATAGTGTGACTTGCGGCAGAGAAAGTAAAACTATTTTGCCGAATTTTCGCGCATTCAGCGCCGTAGGAATATGTGCGAATGTAACGAGGAATAGAGCTAAGAATTGAATTTCACCATGTGAAATATAAATATTTGTATAGGGCGTTTCTTTACCTCGAGAAAGATCCGTTTGTTAGCTTTCAAACTATTTTCCATGAGTCAGAAAACATTCATATGCGATGAATAATTCGGAAGTAAAGTCATCATACCTATGAGCTGTATTTTTTAAGTAGTAGAATTGAACCGGAAGTGCCTTGTTGCCATAAGATGGCTTCGTGATGTGATTGTAATTCCTTTTGCTATCCTACTATCAAAATCATTTGTTTGCGCGGACGATTCCACGCGTATTTTATCCCGTGTAATTTTCCGCATAAACGTATGTGCCTTTTTTAACATTCCAGATTTCTCGTAAATATTCTGACGCCGCGAAAGAGTGTGAGCGATGTATATATTTTTGTTAGGACCGTGGGAAAGATCACGCGGATGCCATGTTAATTTCAGTGCCTCTTCAGATTCGTGCGATTAATACATCGACATAAAGAGAGGAATCTATTTTTCTGTCAGGCTGCATTTTGTTCACACGCGGTGCTGTTTTTATATGTGGTTCAGGTCGTGCTATTCGCTGACATCGGATATCTCACAACAGGTAACCCTCACCACTGACGAATAACGGGGCAAATATTAAAATAATGGCACGCCTCCGGTTATGACGATCGACCTGGGTACATACATACATACATACATACATACATACATACATACATACATACATACATACATACATACATACATACATACATACATACATACATACATACATACATACATACATACATACATACATACATACATACATACTTACATACATACAGTACATACCGTGCCGTGCGTGCGTGGGCGTGTGTGTGTGTGTGTGATGTGTGTGTGGGTGTGTGTGTGTGTGTGATGTGTGTTTTGTGTATGTGTGGTGTGTTTGCGCGCGGCGTGCGTGGCGCCGTGGGCGCGTGCGTGTAGCGTGATGCGAATGTGTAATCTTGCAATACATATAATTCTCGAGTCTTATTTACATACGGCCTATGTTAGGCGTGAAGAGCCGGGCGCCCACGCCACAAACAAGGTCCTCGCGGTATTACTGCTGCACGCACGCGTCCGCAGGTAGCCGCGATCGTGTGGCGTGCGTGCGTGCGTGCGTGCGTTGGCCTGTGGCTCGCCGCCGTTCGCGTGCGTGCGTGCGTGCGTGCGTGCGTGCAGAGCGTGCGTGCGCTGCGTGCGTGCTGCGTGCGTGCGAGCGTGCGTGCGCCTATAACTCGCGCGTTCTCGTGTAGGGTCCGGCAGCTTATAGCGAGTAGGAGGTGAGCGGCTTTAATCCGCCGCGCTAGGCCGTGCGATCGGCGGCAGGCGTCGTCATTATACGGGCCTTTGTTCAGCAGTAGCGGCGGGAGGGGCCGTGCGGCCATTGTCAAATTACGCCGCAGTCGCGGCCCTGCTACCGGGTGCTAGCGTCAGGTAAGGGAGGGGTGGGGTGCAGGGGAGTGAGGGGAGGGGTGGGGGTGTTGCTTGGGCTGCTGATTTCCCATGTAGATATCCCGGTGGCGGTTTTACGATTGATGTGGGGGGAAGAGAAGGAGGAGGAAGGGGGATGGAGAGGAGGGGTGACGCCAGTAGGGCGCTGATGGAGATTGACGCGGGGGGTTCGTTGGGCGATTAATTTTAGCGAGCTAAAATCCCGAGTTTGTTAAGAGACTAAATACGGAGGAGAGAAGGAAGACTGGTAACGCCCGAGGGGAGGGGGAGGTTAAGTGTTGGAATTATCGCCGATTGTCATTAAGGTTTACTTTGCGGATCTGGCCACTTGGCCGCGCGTGAGACTAAGATGTATACGAATAGAATATTAAGATCCGGATGCATGGCAGAGCATAGCGTATGCTTTTAATCGACGAAATATTATTGGCGTATTTTAATGTATGTAGGTGAAGGTAGGCACAATATAAAGAACAGAGTTTAGTTTTGCAACGTTACACGCTATCAGTGATATATAGGGGGGGCCTTAGGTAACCCTCAGACTACGAATTTTAGCCGCGCGTACAAGAGCGCCTGCGCTAACTTAGCCCGGGTGTGACGCGCGCTAACTATTTAATAACTTATTAAACTAAATAATTTCGGGACTAACAAGATTTTAATATATATATATAGCACTACCGCATGCTGTTGTACGTGCATGCGATGCATCAGGGATGGATCTGATTTCCGAGTTTCATTTGACTCTTGAATTACAATAAGGATATGAAAAACAAAGATGCGTCACGTCCCTTGTCCCGCATCGTCCGACCCTCCTACCCCGCCGACTCCCCGTCATGCTTCTCCTGTCATCCTCGCTCCGCGTCTCCTCTTTCAATCTATCCCTCCTACGTGCTCTTTCTCCTCCTACCCCCGGCCATCTTTGCTTCGGCCACTATCATCCTTTACGCGCGTTCAGTTTCTTATGCTATCCTTCTCCTCCTCCCGCTGTCAGCCCAGTCCCTAGCTATAATTCTCCAGCGCGTTTCCTGTTCCTATCTATCCCTCCCTGCCTCCTCCTCTGTCCGCCTCCCCTGTCATCCTCCTCCTCCCCTGTATCATCCTCCACCGGCGATCCTGTTCCTATCTATTCCTCGCTCTTCCCCTCCTAATAAGTAGAGCTGCCGTGGTGTAATGACATACCGCACGTATCGCGTCATAAAAATTAAAGCCGATGAAAAACAATTTTAATTCATATGACTTATAACTGCAAATCGACGCGCATGTTTGGCGATAGCGCTCAGTGCATAGATCGTAATAGCTGGCATGGGCCGCGTCGCGTACCTTCCATATCTGTACGTTGCACTTGTACGTCTAATATGTGTGTATGTGTGTGTATATGTGTGTATAAGCGCAGCAGGTACAGATGTGCGGCTCCTGGTTTTATACGCTGCGATGTGTGGCGTGCGTGCGTGTGTGTGTGTGTGTGTGTGTGCGTGTGTGGGTGGGGGGCATATGTGTTTGTGTGTGTGGGGGGGGGGGTATCATTATGTGTGTATGTATGTGGGCCGTGTATGTGTCTGTATGTGTGTTGCGTGGCATGTTTTGTGGCGTGCGTGTATGTGTAGCCGTCCCGCATAATAAGGTCCGCGTGATTCGGTATAATTCCGTCACACACACGCAGCGCACAGCACGCGCACGGCCACTATACAACACATACTCACGGCAGCGCAGCATGGCACACACACGCGCACACATACAAACACCACAGGCACTCACACAGCATGCAACAGCACACATACAAACGTGCACACCGCACGCACGCATGCACGCAACGCATGCCGTGTTCGCTGGGCTCGCGCACTGACTGTCTCCTATTAAGCTAGCCATGAAGTTTTCAGCGCGGGCGCATGACGCGGGGAATGCCGATGGGCTTTTACTGCCGCTCCGAAAGCACTTCACTTCTGTGCAGGGCGGATAGGCAGGAGGGAGAGAGAAAGAGACTAAGAAGAGGGGGAAAGAGAGGGAGAGGGAGAGTCAGAGAGAGCAGAGAGAGAGAGAGAGAAGAGAGGAGAGAGAGAGAGAGAGAGTAGAAGAGAGAGAGAGAGAGAGAGATAGAGAGAGAGGAACGAGAGAGAGAGAGATCCGACTGCTACAGTGTGCGGGGGTGCAAGCATGCATCATCAGGGCAGCGATCAGCAGCAAGCCAGCAGGCAGCACTCATCATCATCCATCAGCAGCATCAGCCAGCATGCACAGCATCAATCGAATCATCAGCAGTCAGGCGCAGCAGCAGCAGCATCCCAGTGTAAGGAGGCAATGAAAGCTGTTACGTGAACGGCACCCTAACGAACCACCACCACACGACCGGCAATCCCATCCCATCGCTAATGATTAACAGCACCGCTCCCGGTGCCCACGCAGAATGATCGGAGCGGAGGCAAGTATGCTATCAAACACAGAAATTTGGTATTGTGGCCGGGGACATTACGGTGCGAATGACCAAGCTCGCGCTGAGGGAGAAGGGAAGGGGAGGGAGGGAGAGAGAAGCCACACCGCAGGAATCGCTGCCGGGCACCCATCCCTAACTGCGCAGGTCGGTGTTCGGACGGCGCGTGCAGCGACGTAAGAGGGCGGAAGCGATGGCGCCGCCCGGGGCCAGCAGCGCCACCGCCAGGTGAGGCAGGATGTGGGGCGCTGGTTGGCTGGAGCGGCCGGCGCGCTAGTTTGAGTGCGTGAGTGGGACCAAGCCGAGCAACACGGCAGACGCGTTGAGTGTAGGAGCAGCGAGCGAGTCGGTGTTGTGCAGACATTTTTCGTTTCCACGCGCGTCCGCAACAAGTGCTTTGCTGTTGTTTGTTTGCTGCTTTTTTGTTTTTTCAATTTCCGTTGTTTTTTTTTCCGTCGAAGAAGGAACCCCGGAGACGTATCAAATAATCCGTCGGTCTATACTCTTAGCGATTCGTTCGCATACATCCGCGCGAGCGCGTGTGTGTGTGCCTGTGCCAAGGAGGAGGAAGCGTCGGTTTCTCTCTCCGAGAAAGAGAAGCGCTAGAAAGGTAAAATGGAGTTTACTAGACGACCTCGGAGGACCTCTCTCGCGGCAGACATGCTAGAGATGCAACGAGCTGGAGTCTGCACACGGAACGAGGAATAGACCGCTATCGCGGATGTCCCCCGCAGACCGCGCCGCGTCCAGCCTCCACCGGCCGCCATGCCTCCCGAGCAAACCACCCACTCCCAATGCCGCGGAGGGAGGAGGGGAGGCGGCGGTTTCAAAGAAAGCGAACATGGACGCACGTGAAGCGAGCCGATGAACGCCTTCATGGTGGTGTGTGTGTGTGTGTGTGTGTGTGTGTGTGTGTGTGTGTGTGTGTGTGTGTGTGTGTGTGTGTGTGTGTGTATGTGTGTATACGCATGCTGGTAGTAGTAAACACATTGTGTGTGAGCGCCGCACGCTGTATGTAATTTGGGGACACTGCGCTGCTCGCGGACACTAGCTGACCGTGTTCCATCTTCCCCCGCCCGACAATTTTCTACTCTACTGTCCTACACCCGACAATTATTGTCGGCGTAGTGAGAATGCACCGATGTCGTCGTTCGGACGACACAACCGCCCCTGCCGACCATTGTTTTTATGTACTAATCGCAGCCGAACGCGCTCGATTGTCATTCTTCGAGTAATTGTACGATATTTGCTAACATTTACCTGCCTATTTGCGCTATAAAACGCTACAAATCCGTCGTGCGGTGATTTGGAGGAGGACATCAATGGCCGTGCTAAATCTGGCTCTATAGCTGCTGTGCACATATAGTTTTTGCGCTCGCAATTATGTACTTGCATGGAAGGGAATAAAAAAAATGAATATATTTAAATCAAGAGCACATAATGGAGATCTATTCTCTATTATGTACTCTTGATATAAATATATATACGTGTAAATTTATTTGCATAGTGTCTCATGTTTGCGGGTTCACGGGCGTATATGTGTGTGCGTGCATGCGTACATGTGTGTGCGTGCGTACATGTTTGTGCGTGTGTATATGTGTGAGCGCGCGTATATGTGTGAG